CTTAAGAACCAAATCTCTTCCACAGTCTGGACATATCATTACCCATATTTTCTATTATTTTACATTTCAATGGTGAACTAAAGTAGCCGAAAGTAGATAATAATTGTCAGTCTTGAAGGAAAGCACTGTCTTTTAAGACAGACTGAGCTCTGTCAATTATTAAGGTGACACAAAAAGACTCAGTTTTAAATTTAAATAATATAGAGCTGGTCCTCCAAAACACTTGGCAACAACGAAACTAAACTTAAAAAAAGATGATTAAGTGGACTAAAGAAAAAACATAGAGAGCATGAAAAAACACAAATATGAACATGGGAAAATACGACAGGACACAAATAGCAAAAATAATCAACAATTTAATCAAAACAAGGGAATACTTCATGCAAAAATTTAAAACTCAAAAAGTAGATTAAAACATAATATTTAAAGATCACTATAGGTGTGAAATAAAAAGAAAATAAGAAATCTTTAAAGAACTTTTTTTTGTTATTTTTCTTTTAATTTCCATTCCAGTGATCATTGGATTTGTAAAGATCTCAAAATAATGTCCAAAACACTTCGATATTCATTAATTTCTTTATTATAATATGTCTTATTTAAACAGAGACTGTACAGTCCATTTTTTGGCAGGATCAATCTCCTTGGTGATCAGTTCTGTTGCACTTGATTCCAACTAGGTTAACCTCAAATCACAAGCCTGTAAAACAAAAGAAAAAAATTGTAGCATTAGCTGCATAGGTTCTTCTGAGAAACAAGTAATTCTTGAAATGAAATTTGTACAGTCAGTGAAAATGTGAAAAACAGAGGCAGAAGTATGACCATGCTTTATACAGACCTTCCTAAGAAAAATGAATGGAATGGGTAAGGTCAGTGTTTGAGGATGTGCATATGTCACTTACTGGACTGAGACAGGACACAAAATGTTTAATAAAGGTACAATTGAGCATATTTAGTCTGTAGTACTTAATTTTTTTTAAGGCCAGAGCTTAAAAGCCCTAGGAGGAGTTTACTCAGAGAAAACACAAATAAAAGAGACAAAATGATAACCTTGATCCAACAAGGATGATTTCCTTTTTGCTTTTAATCATCACTGCAACTTAATATAATAATTTAATATTTCATAAATTTTTTCCAGTTAATTGACTAATAATCAGATAGAAAAAGGTGCCAGAAGGATGATTTTATTGATAATTTAAATGAGATGAAGCTTAAACTATGCCCTACATCCCTAAAGACTCAAGTGGAGGCATCATAAATTGCCTGCATGAAAGATAAACTCAGAAACCGACCACAGTTTATGAGACTGAAGGATCAACTGCCGAATCAAGTAGCCCGCCACACAGGAGCATCACAGAGGATGGTGCTGATCGGACAAGAAGCTAAGTAACTACAATATTTCATCAGAAGTGTTACTCAGAGTATTACTGTTTATCACTCAAGTAGAAGTATAAATCCTACTTTAAAAAAAACAAAACTTTTTATTGAAGTTAGAGTATCAACTTAAACTTTTTACTGAAGTAAAAGTGTAAAAGTATCATTTTTAAAACTACTTAAAGCATAGAAGTAAAAGCAACGCAAAAAATAATGCTATGGACAAAAACTTTAAACCTTATACTGGTTACTGCACTACCATATTAAATGAAAATGCTTCTACAATTCTGGACGATAACTTCCTTATACTAAATGTTCTTAGTTTTATAACTAATGGTGGCAGTCTCAAATTTAACTTTGCATCATTTATTTTTGTATGTGACGAAAAGCAAGTTGGCGCAGCACCGAGACCAACCACAAAGAAATTAATTGCCTGGATGAAACACATTATTTTTTTGATTTTTTTTTTTCAAACATCAACAGGCATAATAAAAATTAGCTTAAATGAAACAAAACTGATCAATCTATTTTTAAAATGTAAGGAGTAGAAAGTAAAGATAATTGCAAAAAAGTTCAGGAGTAGAAGTAAAAAGTTGTCTAAAAAATAATTATTAAGTAAAGTATAGATAGCCAACATCTCACCTTAAGAAAATATTTGTACTTTGTTATTTGATGCCATTCGATTGCCCTGTAGAAGGAATTAAGCATTTTGAATTGTGTTGTTCACAAGCTCTCCCAACCAACCTCCCAGTTTTTCAGCTTACTATAAATCCCTGTCTGCTTATTGTCAGAAAGCCTGGCAGACAGACATTAGAGGTGGGGATAGCCTTATTTCAGTAAAACCTTTCCTGATATTCTGGCTGTGTTGTTGCTTTGGCTTGGTGTTCTTCCAGCGCAATTCCTAAAAATCATACATTACCTTTAATGATTGATGGGAGAGATTTCCAACTCCTCTCTCCTGCTTGCTCTTAATCTGCATCTTCAGCGCTTCCTTTTCAACTCAATTGGGACTTAAAGAAATGTTGTAATAATGAAACTCTAATTTGGGCTGCTCAGAGGTGCAGTGGGTAGCACTGCTACCTTTCAGCAAAAAGGTTTTGGGTTTGATTCTTTCTGCATGGAGTTAGAATGTTCTTCCTCAGCATGCTTGGGTTCTTTCTGGGTACTCCAGGTTCCTCCCACAGTCCAAAAACATGACTGTTAGGTTAATTGGCGTCTCTAATTTCTCCTTAGGTGTGAGTGTGTGAGTGAATGGTTGTTTAACTGAATTGTATCAATGACAATGTTAAGTTATGTATGTGTTTATTCTAGAAATAATTAGCAATGCGTTATGTCTTTCTTTAATAGTATGTAACAGTTTTTAGTTGCATGGTGTGCTATGCTCATTAACAAGAACATTAATAATACATAATAATACATTAATAATACTCGTGCGTTATTTGCCACAGTCGACAAGCTAACAAATCCTCCTGTGTCCGTGGCTCCTGAACTCCACTCCACTGGCCTGCAATGAATTTGATAATTTCTTTACTGAGAAAATCCTAAAGATCAGAGGATC